CGGAGACCTTCTGCGGGCAAGGTTTTACGCCATCCTCCGAGGTGACGTGCCCGAGGTATGCCACCTCCCTATGCGCAAACCCGCATTTCGCGGGCTGGAGTTTCAGGCCTGCGTCGCGCAACCTTGTGGCTAGTTTGTTAAATTTTGTTTTGTGCTCTTGCAACGAGCTTGCATAAATTACTATGTCATCCAGGTACACAAAAAGTTCTGTGCCCTGGAGGCCCATTAATACGGCGTCCATAAGTCGTTGGAAGGTTGCGGGAGCGTTCCTGAGTCCGAACGGCATGCGTGTAAACTCGTAATGGCCATAGGGGGTGGAAAAAGCTGTTTTCTCGGCGTCAGCCTCCTCCATGCCAATTTGGTGGAACCCACTGGCCAGATCGAACACGCTGAAGTATTTTGCGCTACCGAGCTGATCCAGAATTTCGTTAATACTGGGTAGCGGGTAGGCATCGTGTATTGATTTTTCATTGAGCCCACGGTAGTCTATTACCATGCGCCATCGTTTCTGGCCGTTCTCATCGGCCTTCTTGGGTAAAATCCACAAGGGTGAGTTATACGGGGATGTTGAAGGGCGTACTATGTCATTTTCCAAAAGTTCCTTCATTTGTTTATTGATTTCAGCCTTGTGGATTGGTGGATATCTGTACTGTTTTACGTTTATAGGAGTTGGATCGGAAGTCACGATTTTGTGCTTCACGATGTTCATTCTGGTCAGTGAGTCGCCAGGTAAATGGAATATGTCGTAGTTGTGTGAAACTAATTCGCGAGTATGAGCGCGTTCTTCAACGTTGAGGTGGTTTGTTTTTATAAGTTCTAAAATTTCATTAGTTCTCTCCGTAGGAGTACGGGACTTCATCGCGTTTACGCGTGATTCGGCGGATACAGTGCAGTTAGCGGATTCAGTGGATTCAGTGGATACAGTGGTTTTAGCAGATACAGTGGATTCAGTGGATACAGTGGATTGGTGGGGAGCGCTCAATGTATACTACAGCTTTAACGACACGACCTGCTTATGCACCTTGGGCGGTAGTTGTTCCTGTAGCGTAATCATCTATATAGCGACAAGAACCAAACTTGGTTTCGTTCCTTGCCCTACCCACTTACAGGCTTGGACCATAGAAGCAGTAGAGCCTGAGGATTTCAATGATAGGGTGGACGGAGAGGTTAAATCTGATGAGGGATTAATGAAAAAGTTGAACATTGTTTTAGACAACTGGTATAAGGCTAACCCATGGAGGAGGACATTGGCAAGAGGACCAGCAGACACTATCGCTGAAGATGTGTCCAATACTAGAAGCTGGATTGCCAGCATGAAAAAGATGTGGTCGACTTTAATAAAATTGAACATCCCAAACTCTTCATCATCGACGTTAACAGAAACGGGAGGTTCAAGCCGGCGTCGACAATCTCAGTAAACAACTTAGACATATTTACATATGTTAACTCAAAATTCATATATGTGGAAAAACATCTCCGAACACAGATAACACAATTGTACAAGGACGTCATAACCAAGAAATGCGCCTTGGAAAAACAAATATTAAACAACGCCCTAACGCTAATACACACAGCGCCGGAAGAAGTCGCCTTCATGATCACCAAGGAACCCGGACATACAGCAACCTCGGCTGGCGAAGCAATACACGTTATACAGTGCATCCCAGTGATCTGCCAGCTACGAAGAACAACACAGTGCTATGACGAACTCCCAGTCACATACCAAAACAGCTCATACTTCCTCACACCGAAATCAAGAATCCTGAAAACAATCGGCACAACCCGGGAGTGTAGCACCATACTCCCCACATTGTACAAACTACATGGCATATGGTATAGACTGACACCACACGCGGTGGAAACAGTAGCACCGCAGACCCTGAAACCGTTAACTACACCCCACTGGAGATACACCAACCCTGAAAACTTGGCGAACGGCGGAATCTACTCCTCCGAGGACCTCGCCAACCTCAGGAACCATATCATGTTCTCGGTAGAGAAACCCGCCATAATAAACTCAACAGCACAGGGAGCCACTGGAAGACAATACTCGGCAGAATCCATTCAAATATCAAATCTCTTGGACGAAGCTTCGTTGGGAAAAATAGCAGCTTGCGAAGCTTGCGTGGCTCTTTCAGGAGGAAAACCTTATCACCTACGCAGAACGTCTCCGTGTTAACCTTCCTGTCGTAGTATCCTTTAGATCGTTCCTTGGCGGACCCTAGATTCTCCCGGGCTCTGGAGGTGGTGTTAGTGATTTTGGCTTGGAGGTCGGATAAATAGGAATTATAGGTCGGGTCTGATGTTTCCGTAAAGGAGGAGCTGGATGGGAGGCGTGCTAAAGCAATGCTGGAAGAACATTTAGTTCGAGAGCTGGAAAGAGTGCTTGAGCTATCGAGATAGAGGTGCGAAAGAGCAGTGTTTGGAACGAGTGTATACAGTGAACCCTCCTACAACGCGGTACTCTTATAACACGGTTTCCATATAACGCGGTGCCAAAATTGCGACGGCCCTCCTATAACGCGGTACTCTTATAACGCGGTTTCCGTTCAACAACATTCCATCAACTTAATTGGTTTAAGAAGATTCTCTATAGCATGAATTTATCTATGTGTTAAATTTTTACAGTTGAAATTAGCGGGGAATTCCCTTCTTTTTGGTGAAGGTACATCACCATTTTCCAATTTCAGTTATCAGGGAATTCCCCTATAAGCGAAGAAACGATGCGAAATTGTTCACAGTGTTCTGTTTTAATGCTTAAAATAGATCGTATGATTGACTGTTGCGTATTTGCGTGAATTTTTTTATTCAATAGCACCGCCGAACTTTCGCTGTTGTAACCACTTACTTTGTCATCAATTTTAAGTGCAACTTGCAACTTGTTAATAGGAAACTGTCTGTAAAACCGTGCAGACGTATATACAGTACCGGACAAATGAATTCGGACAAAAATATTTTTGTTTCTCTACACTATGACATTGTTGGTGGGAGAAGGCCACTCTGTGTTTTGTTTTCGATTAGTTGAAAGCTAGCTCACGAGGAAGTTAGAGGTAGATATTTACTCTATATTACGTATAAGATAGGTTTTATTCGAATTTGCTTGGACAAAAGTATTCGGACGTTTCATTTATGCGTGTAATTTATTTTTTAATGCTGATATATTTGTTAAATTCTTTTCTTGTGCTTTTATTCTATTCTTACGAAGATGGTGCGAGGACAAAGTTTACCGAAATATATGAAGGAACAGGTTGTAAATGCTTTACAAAATGGTGAATCCATATGTGACGTTTCCCGACGCTTTAACATCGCAAAACAAACCGTGTACTGCATTCAAAAGCGATTTCAAGAACGAGGACACTTAGAAAATAAATTCAAGTCTGGCCGTCCGAAAAAGACCTCGATTAGACAAGACAGGCAAATACGACGTCTGTCAATTGCTGATCCCAGGAGGACTGCAGTAGAGATCCATAGAAGTTTAATCGAAACTGACGACTTGGACGTTAGTGTGCGTACAGTATGACGTCGTCTAATGTCTTTTGGGTTACATGGACGACATGGAGTAAAGAAACCATTGATTTAGAAAAAGAATAGGATGGCCCGACTTAAATTTACTCAGGAACACCTTCATTGGTCAATAGAAGACTGGTTCAATGTATTGTACTTTTCAGCGACGAAAGTAAATTTAAATTATTTGGATCTGATGGAATTCAGTGGGTACGTCGACCAAAAGGTCAAAGATTCAACGTGCGTTATCAAATTCCCACAGTAAAACATGGAGGAGGAAGCATTATGGTTTGGGGGTGCTTTTCCGGTCACGGCGTTGGTCCATTGCGGCAAATTAAAGGTATAATGAAGAAGGAACAGTACATAGAAATATTAGAGACAGACATGTTGCCTCATGCAAGGGAAATCATGGACGAAAATTGGATATTCCAACATGATAATGATCCAAAACACACCTCTTGTGCCGTGAAAAATTGGATTCGTGTAAATAATGTGAACGTTCTTAAGTGGCCATCGCAAAGTCCGGACCTAAATCCAATAGAACATCTTTGGGAACATTTGAAACTATCCATAAAAAATGAAAAATTTCTAAATACTGCTAAATTGTACAACACTCTTTGCCAAAAATGGCAAAACATTACTCCTGCTACATTAACCCCTTCCCGTACTTTAGCGAGTCTGACTCGCGATGAAGATTTTGGCCCAAACATGCATATCGCGAGTCAGACTCGCGACGAGATACTTGGCCCAAACATGCATATCGCGAGTCAGACTCGCGACGAGATACTTGGCCCAAACATGCATATCGCGAGTCAGACTCGCGACGAGATACTTGGCCCAAACATGCATATCGCGAGTCAGACTCGCGACGAGATACTTGGGCCAAACATAAGTATCGCGATTCAGAGTCGCGACCGGATACTTGGCCCAAACATAAATATAAGAAGCCGAGCTCGCGGACTGATTTTTTGCCCGTTATGGTCGTGACGGAATGCTAGTTTCTATCAGTACTTCGTGATAGTTAGACACGATTCGTATCGTTGCTTTCACGAAGCAGTTCAATTATTAAAATTTAAGAAACCCCTCCAAAATGCAAGGTACAAAAGTGTTATATAAAGGTAGTGATAACGAATCTTCTGACAGTGACATAATTATGCCAGTCGCAAAGCGTGTAAGGCGCATGATTACAGATGAGAGTAGTGAAGAAGAAAGTACGACACGACAAGCATGGATTTGGCAAGAAGTACCAAACACACCGATAATTTGGAAGTATTCCGAAAATCATGGAATAGAAGCGTCTGTCTTAAATAATTTAAGCGCCAATCCAAGAATACTAGACCTATTCTTCATTACATTTGATAATAAGTTTTGGGAAATCCTGGTTACGGAAACAAATC